ATATATATATATATATATATATATATATATATATATATATAGAGAGAGAGAGAGAGAGAGAGAGAGAGAGAGAGAGAACGTGAGTGACTGCGAGAGAGAGAGGACCGACAGGTGCACCCCTCTTAATGCCGGACGTTTCCCCGTACGCAGCCGTCTCTTATTGCGCGCACCCGCGATCCCTAATTATGCGATGATCCCAAGGGATGACGATGACGACGAGGAGGAGCCTCCTAAAGACGACTTGAAGCCCGCGACCAGCCTACTTCCACGGATTAATGTCCCGATATGGCGTTTGGGGCCTTAGTCGCCGGGGAAGAGGCCGCCGAGAAGGGACAGACGCGACGTACCTCGGCTAGAGCGCCGTGTGCATTATGAAATATCCAGTTATAAGTAAACTTATATCTTTAATGAGATATTGTATTGCACACCTGTCGCTTTTGCGACCCTTTTGGAGATGCACGATTTGAGACAAAGGAGGGAGGAGAGTCTTTAAAAAAAAAAAATAAATAAATAAATAAATAAAAGAAAGAAGAAGAAAGAGAAGAAGAAGAAAAAAAGCGATTTCTTATTCCTCGGGAATGTAATTGATTTTTTTCTCTTTATTTTTCCATTTATTTTTTTTTGTTTTTCGTTTTGTTTTGTTTTGTTTTTGTTTTATAGCTCTTACTCTTCGTATATTAGCGCACACTCGTACAAATTATTATTTAACGGCTATGGCGTACGATATTGGATTGGCCGTTGGTTTAACGATAGCCCGCTTACTATTAATAATTTTAATATATATTTAAATAGGCCTGGGTATTCCTTCTGGCTCTGCTTATTCCTTCCTGCTCTTGTTTCCTCGCGACGTCTGCGCCACGCGTCCTTAAATCGCTGCCAATTCTTAGCGACGTTTCGAGAAAGCAAACAGTTCAACAACAGCATTTGGCCAACGTAGCCGCGCGAAGCTCAAATTAAAACTTAAAACTCTTAAAAACGGAACCCGTTTGTATATATCCACGCGTGTAGAAGAGTTGAAAAACAAAAAAAAAAACAAAAAAAAAAACAAAAAAAAAATGTCGATTACAACGCCTGAGCACCAATATATTGCACTAACGGTACTCCACGCAATTTAAAGTCCGGCGAACCTTTATTTTAGATCGCTTTTTCTTCAAAACCTAACTGTACGCCCTAACCGTGCAATTTATCTAACGCACAAAAACCTCCATATAATTTAACACCTGATAATTCATACTCGCTTTTATTTGCAAAATAAAGAATAATTCGAAATTTCGATGCTGTACCAGTGCAAAATCGTTTAAATTATGTTTTTTTTTTTTTTTTTTTGTACGGCAGTAAGAAATCTGCGGCTCGCCGCCTATGAAAAACTGCTCCACATGCGTAATAAAGTCGGCACACGTGCTTTAGGGAACCGAGTGAAAGCGACCGCAGCTGACGAAGTTCCACGAAGGACGACGAAGCGGCGGCTGAACGCCCTGGAACGCGGCAGCCGAGCCAGCGGGCCCGTATGTTGGGTCCTCGAGCCCAGGCGCCCACACGACGACGCTTCGCCCTCGTCCCCTGGCGTTCGTCCGGCCCACGCAAGCTAGTCGCGCTTCAACCTCCGATGCAGCCTACACGGCCCATTGCCAACTCTAGGCGCGATAAATTTTACGGCGACGCAAACCCGGCGCCGAACGCCGAAGCACTAAATGTGCTAGAGCCCTGTTACGATGGCCCGTTGTTAACAACGCGACGATAAAGATCCCCCCAGCTCCACGGCGGGACCACGCCAGGGCCAATAGTCATCGGAATTTAAATGACGATTTACGAATTCGCACATGCGACTCCACGCGAAGGCAACAAGTCGCGATGTCCCTCGCGATATCAAATCGGCAACGATCATCCTCGGCGGGCCCGACTGCCTACCACGCGGCATCTCGCCTCGAAGGGACGAGGGTCCGTGGCCGTACCCGAACGACGAATAATTTCGAGGCGAATGTGCCCGCGGTTGATCGAGCGGCCCCGAGCAAAACCCCGGGCCTCCCGCGAAAAAAGTCCCGAAATCCGTTATGCGTTCGCGCGCGCGCCCGCTGCTTGGCAAGAAACGACGCATCATCCTCCGAGCGTGAAAAGAATTCGTCTCGCGTCTTATCGGGACGCGGCTTCCTCGCGGTCTCATTTTCGGCCCGAGTTGAAACGAGCCACGTGCACGTGCCGCCGCCACACACACGCGCGCGCACGAGTACACCCCATCTCTTCACCCCGCCCGACCTCATACTATTACTCCAATCACCCCCACCATCCGAGGACCGCCTTTCTCCGGATAAGAGCCCGAAATTATTCGTCGGCGGTGGCGGCGGCGGCGGCGGCGGCGGCGGTGTCGGCAGCGGCGGCGGCGGTGTCGGCAGCGGGCACGCGCCTTCGGTTTTTTGCGATGTCGCGCCCAGTGGCCCCTTGGCACACGGACCTACTTACGCGGCACCGCTTTTTGTTGGGCCCCATCCCACCTTTCTCTCCGAGGGCCTAGCGGTGCTTTCGACGGAGCATCGCACCGGAGCGCGCGCCGCTGCCCTTCCACATGCTCCGGGGGCCGCTCGCGGTACCTCGTACGCGATCGATACCGCTTAGCCTCACCCGTTACTCGCTTGCCCGCTATCGGCCAAGCACCCCAAGCTCCTCAGGAAATCGAATTCTGCCTTTATGTGCTCGGAGCCTCGTCCCCGTCGCCACCAACACCACTGGCATCATCACCACCTCGCCACCACCTCGCCGGCATCACCATTGCCACCGGCACCAACGTCACCACCACCACCACCATCATCACCACCACCATCGACCAAACGCACCATGCGTAATGACTCGCGAACTTTTTGCAACAGCGGCATCGGCATTTCGGCAACCTTACAGCGTCATGCTGGGCTTTTCTTATGCTGGTTTTACGACGCCGAGGGATCGCGCAGCGCCTGCTCTTGTACGGCCTGACGAACAATGAGAGAGAAGCGCTGTTTTTACGGATTCGCCAGCACGCGCGATTTAGGCCTCGACTTTACCTCTTCCTCGCCCATCCCGCCCAATTTTTTCGATGTTCCGTTAAAAACGTAATTGCTCGGGTAATGCAAAAGGTTTTGTTTGTAAAATTGAAAATACCTCGCGCTCTGCTTAACCAAATTGCTGAGTATTTGCTCATTGCGCGCTCCCTCATTTCTTTTAACGGCAAATAAGCGAGCGCGCGCGCGCACCTTGGCATTCATTAAATACATAAATAAACTAACTGTACATCGGAATGTAGTATTGAGAGCCGATCATGCGAGAATCTAAATTCGCATGCATTATTTAAGGGAAATTTATGCGACAGTTCGCCGTACCGAGGGCATTAATGCAATAATGACTGATTAGAAATGTATGTATGGGTAACCATATGATGTTGAGAAGTCGACAATTTTTCTTGACCTGAATTTCACTTTATGTGCTTTGTGCGCTTTATATCGCCGATAATTTAACGACTCTGTCCTTGTAGGTGGAGTCAGTTTAAGAAAAGACGACCCTTAACGCTGACCACTTCAAAAAGATTTTCCATTCGTTATTTCCTGTAACATTCTTCTTTCATTCTCTCTCTCTCTCTCTCTCTCTCTCTCTCTCTCTCTCTCTACAATCAATTTCTCTCTTTCCATCTTATTCGCTTACTCACTCGGTACGTATGCACGCGTAAGTAAAATTACACATTCCAAAACATCTATTACTTTATTACGATGAATATTATATCATTTGCTTCATACAATACTTAATGAATCACTTATAATTCACTCATTCATTAAATAAAGTAGTCATTATGTATTTTTCAATCATTCTTTACGTTACTGCAATTAAACATTATAAAATAAAACGAAAAAAAGCATTGAAACAGCAGTGAAATTGATGTATCACAGATATTTAAATTCGTTTCTATCTATTATTATATATAGAAAAAATATTTAACCTTCAAATTCTTAACAATTAGCCTATAGATATGCGATTCTTATAAAACCTAAGAGCAATGTCTTTCACAATTATCCTCTCTCTCTCTCTCTCTCTCTCTCTCTCTCTCGCTCTTTCGAAAATTTAAGATTTTTAGAAGTCGATTTTTTTGAAATAAATAATGCTTGTTATTTCTAAATTGCATAGGCAATTCGTAACCTCACTTTAAGTATTATGAGAACGCATTTAGGTTAATGTTAATAATTGCACACATAATACAAATGCGACTGCAATTCCCAGTACTCATCAGGGCTGCTGAAGAAAATGAAGGCTGGCTAGGACGAGGCTCACCTGCACGCAAACGCAGCCCACTGGCGTCTGTCTTTCTCCACAAGTTGCAAACTTCTAAACTGCATTTTGAGGGAAAATATATAAAATCAATAGCCAAGTTTAATACTGCGATATTGTTGTGTGCAAAATGTATATGCAATACTCACAGATCACCTGATGAATCTCAGATATGCGCGAGCAATTGGCAAAAATATTATGTTATTGTTGAAAAGCAGGAAAACATAAAATGTATAATGTCGTTTAAACAATTGTTGACGTTGGTTTCTTTCATTTCGGCATTAATAACATGACATATAACGTACATAACGTACACATACTAAAGACGCGTCCCGCGCACCCACATGCATGCACATAAAGATGCAATTATTCGTTATAATTTTCATTTTAAATTGCAAGATATTATACGAAATACGTAAGTGATCGACATTATTTTGATTTTACCACTATTATTGAAAACGTATATGAAATTACTTATGGTGTTAAATGTATAATTAAATTATATTCTCTATATACTTAAAAAAAAAAAAAAATAAAAAAACAATTACGATTGCGTGAATCATTTACATTTGAAATAATACCAAATAACTGAGATGGCTCGTGAGTAGATTTATTTTCATAAATTCATGTGCATGGAATTGAATTGCATTGAACGTAGTGGGGGGGGGGGAATATATATACATGTAAAATATGTGTAAGTAAAATGTAAGATTTTATACTTTGTCGTAAGCGAACATAAAAAATTTTCATTAACATAATGATAATTATGCTTTTCCTTTTTCGTTAATATTAATAATACGAATAATACCATCTATATAATCTAATATTTTTTCTTACCAATTCTTTACTACCAATTATTTTATATTTTACTGCAAGTTTATTTGACATTGCTAAACACATGGTTAAAATCTTTTTTGAAGAAAATATTCTCTCAATATCTTTAAGAGAATATTTCGTTACTCGCAATAACTAAAACTATACGATCGATAATACAATATTATATTTAATTATATTTTGTTATAAACGCGCTTATATTATATTAAAAACAAAAATATGCAAACATATATTTAGTAATTATATTAAATTTTATATACTCCATAAAAGAATAAATGTTAGCACTTTTTTATGCATTTTTGGTACGTATTTTACAAATAATAAAATATATATTAATACTTACATAACAGATATTCGGGCCTACATGATTTATTATAATATTATTCATGTTGCTGTTTAAATTGGAATTTCATTTTCAATTGTTCTTACATATTTAGCAAAATTGCACACTCTACACGGGAAAAATAGATTCGCAGTGATTAAACATCCGGCAAGTTACTCTAAATAACATTTTCCTCTGTACATATCTTAAAAACAAACTTGGGTTATTTTTATCACAGTGGCGTTTAAAACTGACTTAGAATTAATAAGAATTAAAACGTGAAAGCAAATATTATTATAAAAATTATTATTAATTTCCTTTCGTAGTTTGCCATTTTTCTTCACGACTCTCGTTATGTAAAATCTCTATTACTTTCTTTTAATTTTTGTTTAATTAACCATTGACAGAATGTATTGATTAATATAAAAAAAAAAAAAAAAAAAAAAAAAATGTTTCTTGCAAATTTCGTTTACTTATATAAATGCAAATAGGTACATATGAACTTTTATATATCAATTTCCATTATTTTAAGACGTGAAATTACAATGATAATAATCTTGAGAAGGATTTCGTTGAACAAATTTAAATGCAATGTGCTCCATTACGTAGGATATCTAATATTATTCATCAATATTATTCAGCGATATATTTATTTGTGAATGGCTTCATTACCGATAAACATTTTATTGAAAAAATTTAAAGGATTAAATAAACGCTTATTACAGAAATATAACTGTCGATAGATTCGTTCGATTTTGAGTAGATTATATTTAAGAAGGATGCGGTTAACCACCGTAGTTGTACTGATTCATACATGGGCAAAGAAAAAAAAAAGATGTCGGGTGGCGGCGAGGGGTAGGGGGTAGCGAGGGAATTGGTAATCGCCTGTAGATGAGCATATTAAATAATTTTGGCAATTTCTAAGATATTGTTTCACAAAGTTGCCAGATTTAAATCGCCGAAGCGAAAATTACGAATAAAAAGTTGAATTGGTTAAAATGTTCAAACGACTATGTGAATAATATTCGAAATTGATGTTAAAAAAATATTGCACTTAATGGCTAATACTCCGTACGATAGATAATTCTAAAATAACCAAACAGCAGCTTGTGATTATTATTCCATTAAATAAATGAAAATTATAAATTAATTATTTTGTTATTTAACATCGGATTATGAAATATTTTCGTGATGCTTAATATTTATGTTCGCGAACAAAGCAATAATTCCCCGTTCTTAAACGCGTAATAAGATCAATGCAAATGATAATAGTTTCGACTGCTTCATTTTAGAACAACGTATCGGAGTTCGATTACTACAATCTCGCAGTTCCAACTCCACATGAACAATACGAATGGCTTGCTCGAAATTTTTGTTTTTTCCCATTCAGCCAATCCCACTCTATCCGATACATATGTATGTTAATTTCGCATACTTATCGAATCAATCAGAGAAAAACAGAAGAATATCCAGGCGATAATAAATAACCACAGTGCACGATTACGCTGGCGAGAGTGAAAGAGCGAAATGGTACAAATGTACGAGCTCTCGACATTTAGAGTGGTAAATTCAAATACAAAGTGGGATGGCGCGCCGTTCCTATGAGAAAAAAAGGGCCTAAAGAAGGGCGATTGCTTAAACGAAAACGAAGGTAGATCGAAAGAAAAAGAGAGAAGAAGGTCGAGACGATACGGCATCGCGGATCCCGATAAAGCGACAGTCACGTCGCGCAATTAAGCTCCGGCGTGAAAACAAGCGACGCCGTAATTAAATGCTTAAGGAGGCGCGCACGGGCGAAAAATCAACAAGAGCACGCGCCCGCGGCCCTCTGAAAATCCAACACGTGAACGATCGCCTCGCCTCGACTCGACTCGACCCGACGTGCAGTCTCTCTCTCTCTCTCTCTCTCTCTCTCTCTCTATTTCTTCCTCTCCCGGCTCTTTATTTTTAGCGCGCCTGCTTAAGCGAGCGGCGAGAGGAGCGGGAGAAGCGGGTGAAACGGGTGAAGCGGGAGCGAGAGGTGGGTAGAAGGAGGAGGCCAGGCCGCGAATTTCTCGATCGGTTTGCTCGAGGGGGAGGCTGCCTGGGCGCGTTCCTGGAAACGTGAAGTCGAGGCTCGGATGATTGGCGATCGCGGTTAAATAATTCAGCGTACGGATCGCTCGTTCACTTAATGCGCCATCCTCCCGCTCCTTGGCGTATTGTCTTAGGGCTTTTTTGCCGCCCTTGGAGATTCAATTGGAAACGTAGGGCATTTGTCGAAGGTATTCGTAAAAAGGACCGAGTGTCGCATTTTTTGAATTACTAGACGGCATTTAGAACGAGGACCCGCTAATTGCTGACAAATTTCGTGTCTATGGTACGTGTTAAAAAATAGTCGAAATTTTACTCGCTTTGCCGCTAATGAAGGCAAAATAGATAATTAAAGTGCTA